GTCCAACTCTTAACGACTGAGCCACCCAGGCACCCCTTAAGCGTCCAACTCTTGATTTCAGCTCAGGTCATGAACTCAGGGTCGTGGGACTGAGCACCGTGTTGGGATCTGTGCTCAGCCAAGAGTCTGCTTGAGATTCTCTCTCCCTCTCCCTCTGCCCCTCCCCGCACTCCCACTGGCACTCCTAAAATAAATGAATGAACGAATGAATGAATAAAAATGAATTGGTTTTTTACATACTAACAATAAACACATGGACACCAAAATTAAAAATCCAATACCATTTATAACCATTCAAAACAAAACCAAAAACCTATGTCTAAATCTAAGGACATGTACAAAGTCTACTTAATGTCAATGAAAAAAGTCAAAGATACAAATAAATGGAGAGATGCACCATGTTCACTTACTGGAAAACTAAACAGAAAAGATGTCATTTCTCCCCAAATAAATATACAAGTTTAATGGAACTCCTATCAAGATACTTGCAAGACATTCTGTAGATAAATACTATTCTAAAATTTATGTGAAAAGACAAAAAAAAATGAGAATAAGTAAAACAATTTTAGGGAAAAAAAAGTAGGAATCAGTCTGATTTCCAGACTTATTATAAAGCTACAGTAATCAAGGTTGTGTGGTATTTGGTAGAGGGAAAGCCACATAGATTAATGGGAACAGAACAGAGGAGGGTCTGGAGATGGACCCTCACAAATATGCCTGACTGATTTCTGACAAACATATTCAACGGAGGAAAGACAGCCTTTTCAACAAAGGGTGCTGGAGTAAATGGATACCCAGAGGCAAAAAATGAACCTCAATATAAGTTTCACACCTTACATAAAAATTAACTCAAAATGGATCACAGACTTAAATGTAAAACGTAAAACTATAAAACTTTTAGGAAAAAAAGAAGACAAAATCTTCAGAATAAGGGGTAGGCAGAGTTCTTAGAAATGACACCAAAAACATGTTCCACAAACAAAACAAAACAAAAACAACAGATAAACTGGACTTCCATCAAAGTTAAAAACAAAACAAAACAAAAACAAACAGAAAGGTCTTAGAAATTAAAAAGCTTGACAAATAAAAAATTCAACAGGGTGGTTGGAATGTAAAGCTGAGGAAATCTGCTGGAATGCAGAGGGGGAAAAACACCCAAAGATATGAAAAATCAAGGGGAGAAAACACGAAAAATTAGAAAATCAATTCAGGAGAACCAACATCCAAAATAACAGCAATTTCACACAAAAGGAAGACAGAAAAGGAAATCACCAAATGAGACAAGCTAAAATTCCTCATAACGCAAGGATAGGAGTCTCTAGATTACATGGGAACACCATTTATTAATAAATAATAAATGCACACAGCAAGGTGTATCATCAAGATATTTCAGAACACTAAACAAAGGGGAAACTGATAAATCTCTAGGGAGAAAATAATGGGTCACACCCAAAGGGCTGATATTAGAATGACTTCGGACTTCCTATCCACAACAATGAAAGCTAAAATACGGTATAGTAATGCTTTCAAACATCTGAATGAAACTATTTCTGAGCCAGAATTTTATACACAAGGTTTCACATGTGTGAATGTAAAATAAAGACACTTCCAGCCCTGCAAGCTCTCAAAAATCTACCTACCATGCATAAGGAAGCTACCACAGGATAAGCTCCACCAAAATGAGGAAGTAAAACAAAAAACAAGTCAGGAAATCTAACAAAAAAGCGAGGCAAAGGGAATGACTAAGAAGTTCCAAGATAAAACTATAAATTAGACCTAGAGAGCAGCCAAACCAGATTTCACTGAGTTAGGAGACTGAGATTTCTTCAAGATAAAATGGACAGAACATATAAATGCATTTAAAAGTATTTTAAAAGAATGATTTCTACAGCCTAGGGAGAGTTTGGGGTTAAACTGCTGAAAAGTATACAGAAAAGACAGACCAAAAAATGGAAAAAGATTATTAATTCCAGTGAAAACAGTTATACAGAAAAGGAATAGTAATCCTAGTCCACCAGAAGATTCTGCAAGAACAGTGTTTTCGTACATGTAAAAACTAATACTACTGGAACTAACATATTGCCAGAAACTTACTGCTGTTGCAGCAGAACAGGAAATGAGCATGATTGCAGGTATTTGGGGAGAAGGGCGTGCAGGGGATGAAAGAGAGCTAAATTTTTACTTTCCATACTATATAATGCCTAAAATGGAGAAAAAAATCAAGAACTAGCAATATCAGCATGATATTTTGAAACACAGCAAATGAATCAACAAAAAGTGGTTGTCTCTGGGACCTTGCAGTGACAGAGGAGGGCCCCTCAGGGAATTACTTCAAGTTTCTGGGAACAAGCTTCGTTCACTTATGTGAGTATTTAAGTTCTGAAAAAATATAAACTCAAAACAGAACACAAACTTTCACAGCTAATACATAGCTGGGCCAGAACTTGAACTCATGTAACTGAGTTCCCAGTCAGGTGTGTTAATTTGTGAGCTCGTAAGGGGCCTGTGTCTTCCTAGTTCCACACCCGCCTAGCACAGAGCCAGCCCTCAAACATGTTTCTGAATGAGTGGAAGAAAGTTAAAGAATGGGATTACTTTCATAACGCCAGAAAATGAATGAGAAGGGCATTCCAGGCAGAGGAAACAGCAGAAGCAAAGACAGGAAACGGAGTGTGAGAGCTAGGCAAGGCAGGGACAAGGGGAGGAGGGGGCAAAGAGAAGCGGCCAGAAAATCGAGTGGCTTCTGGTGGGAGACGCAGTGAGCTGGCTGTCCGGAGCCCTGTGGCGGGGGAGTGGGCACACACTGGTGCCTTGTGGACAGATCCAGGTGGCCCTGGGTATTTGAGCCTTGGGGTTTTTTGTCTGTTTTGCAGTGATGACAGCAACACTTATTTCTCCCAGCAAATGGCTCCTTCTCAAATGGTGTCAGCTTTTTGAAATCTATAGTACCAGGCTCTCTAAAATCCTGAGGTCTTTTTCAGTTAACCCAACTACAGTACAACTAGTTACTCTAAGTAGCCCCTGCAAGGGCAACTCCACAGGGGTGGACAGGGCAAGCAAAGCCTCGTGGAATCCCTACAATGCCACCTTCACCCATTTTGGGGCCTCTTTTTGTTCTTTACAAAAGCATGAAAATCCAGGGTATAAAGGAATCATTACCTCTAGGTGAATATTTGCATCAGATATTACCATTATTCATACATTCACTTCATCCTAAGTCTATAAAGTATAGTTGACACTTGAACAACATGAGTTTGAACTGTGTGAATCCAGAGCATATTATTTTCCTTAAATACAGTACAGTACTGTAAATGTTTTTTCCTTATGATTTTTTCTTTCTTTTTTTTTAAGTAGGCTCCACACAGGGCTTGAACTCACAAGCCTGAGATCATGAGCTGAGATTAAGAGTCAGACGCTTAACCCACTAAGCCACCCAGGCACCCCTCCTCATGATTTTCTTAATATTTTCTTTCCTCTAGCTTCCTTTATTTCAAGAATACAGTATATAATACATACAAAATATGCGTTGACTGTTTATGTTATCAGTAAGACTTGCAGTTAATGGCAGGCTACTAGTCAAATTTTGGGGGCACTGAAAGTAATATGAGGATTTTCAACTGTTCAGGGGTTAACACCCCCACCTCTGTGTTGTTCAAGGATCAACTGTATTTACTTCATGTTAAGCAGTCTGCTGGAATATAAAGTTCCTGATTTTAAAAAATTTACCTTCTGATGGCAAAATTACTTATAAGATAACAAGATAAGCAATATAATTGGCCTAAACAAAAGTATTATAGAAACACAAAGGAATAAGACTATTTAAGGAGGTGCCTGGGTGGCTCAGTCCGTTAAGCCTCTGACTCTTGATTTCGGCTCAGATCATGATCTCAGGGTCATGACATCGAGCCCTGCATTGGGCTCCACACTGGGTGTGGAGTCTGTTTAAGATTTTCTCCCTCTCACTCTTCCTCTCTGCCTATCCCCCACTCACACTTGATCGCTCTCTCTCTTAAAAAAAAAAAAATACTAAGTTTTTTAATGTAAAATATCAAACAGAAGTGAAAGTAAGAGACTAACAAACTCCCATACACCCACCACTCTGCTTTGATCGTAACCCTTTGCCAATTTTGTTTCTCTTCTAAATCCACTCATTAACTTTAAGACATCATGTTATTTCATCCACAAATATTTCAGCACATATTTCTAACAGATAGGGACTCTTTCTTTAAACACAGTATGAATCTGAATTGTGAAAACAAAGTTTTTAAGATGTGAGATATAATTAACATATAATAAAATGCACAGATCTTAAGGTGTTAGTTGAGTTCTAACACTTGTATAGTCCTGTATAAGCACTACCCAGAACAATATATAGAACGTTTCTATGGCCCAGAAAGTTCCCACATGCCTCCTTCTAGTCAATTTCCCACACTCAGATGACCACTTTCTGATCTGTTACCATAGATCACTTTTGCCTGTTCTTGGACTTTTATAAATGGAATCATAGAGTATGTATGAGTAAGAGGTTTCTAGTCCAAAAAAAAAGTGGGGGGGAAACCATTTCTGGAGGAAAGAACTACATGTATAACATATAAAGGTGTATTCGTGGAATGCTGAGAAGCTCAAGAGGGATGAAAACCAGGACTGGTAGTAGACAAGGCTAGAAGAGGAGGCTCATCGGAGAGCCAGGGTTTCTGGATTAAACTCCATAGTTAGTTCTGGGAATGAAGTTATGAAATAAACTTTTCCCGATGCAAAACATTTCTCTGACCTTAAAAGTTGGTCAGTTCTGTCAATATGCTCCTTTCTCCTCAACCCTCCAGCTAAGGGTGACCAAGACGGGAGAAGCATGCTCTAACCCATCCCTCTTCATTCTCATCTTGTGATGAGGCTCCTTTGCCATCTCAGGGAAGGAACAAGCCTCCCCAAACCCCCCAAAACCTTTCTTATGAGAGGGCACATTTTAAACAAGCAATCCCAAGTCTGAAGGGCAGCCTTACCATTATCTGGATTTCTCTCTTGCACACCTGGAGATCATGCTCATTGTTGACAAACATGCGTTTCAAGGCACATTTCATTCCATTGCTTGTCCTCACCAGAAACACGATAGCAAATCCACCTGTGAGGGAAACACACATACAAGCTCTTTTGAGTTGTGTTCAAAAAGTTAGTTGGATAACCACAGTGGCTGCAGCTCTGTGCTGTCACTGTTAATGCTACTGATGCCATCATCAGCTAGACCTAAGGGTTGGCCTGGCCCAGAAGGCACTCTTGGATTCAAGGGACTCAGACATTACTATGGGATTGGGTGGCAAGAGTCAGAAAAATTGTTCCTGAACACCTATATCAGGAAGAAAGAAGAATAGTAACGATCTTGTAAAGAACCTACAAATAAACAGATGAACAAACAGATGAATAAAAAAGAACTACATTCCAACCACTATCCTAGGCACTTTGAGCTCTTATTTAATTCTTACTATAATCCTGTGAGGTTGGGTATTATTTTTCCCTTAAAGACGATTACTAGCTAAAGAAAACAGAGGCTCCAAGAGATTAGATTCAACCAAGAACTTTAAAAAAAAATTAAATCCAGCACTTAACCAGAGAGGCTTGGAAATTATTTTAATAATTGTTATAATAATAGTTGTCAAATTCAAGAAGCTTTCTCTTCCTTCTCAACCCTCCTCACCGCCCCCCGCCCCAACTGGGATCTAACAATTGACCTTGAGGGGGCGCCTGGGTAGCTCAGTCGATAACCATCTGCTCAGGTCATGATCCCAAAGTTCTGGGAAGGAGCCGCATCAGGTTCCCTGCTCAGCGGGGAGCCAGCCGCTCCCTCTCCTGCTCCCCCTGCTTGTGTTTCCTCTCTCTATCAAATAAATGAATAAAAAAAAAATGACCTTAAGGATTCCTCCTGCCATTCCTACTTCATGGGCTACTGAGAAGACACAAAATATAGGTATGAAAGTGCTCCTCGACACAGCAGAGACCAGCAAAGTATAACTCAATTACTGGGCAGATGTTTTAATGTCCACATCAACCTTTCCCTTAAAGACCAAAATTCATTAAAAAGAATTTTATATTAACTCTAACAGAAATTCTTAAATGCTCTGGATTGGTTACACCTTAGCATTCCACAGATTCTTATAACTCCTTCCTTCCATCTCATTCCCCAAACATTGCAGGTGTTCGGTGCCATTGTTAACAGGGGTTATAGATAGATAATGTGCAGCAAAGCTGTCAAAGCTGAAGGCTTTGGGATAAACAGCAATTAGACTGGGCACTTAGTCCATCTGCCTGCTTGTACACCATCATAATTTAGCTTGAACTATCCTGCGCATTGACCCTGGGTAGCAAAAAAAAAAAAAAAAGGTTGCGAGGCTATTCTCTGCACACAGGTAATCACTAATTGGATGGAGAGGGACACAGAGCGAAGTAACCAGTGTGGGAAGTTGAGCGGAGATCCTGGTATAGCACTGGGGCTAGCTGCCACATGCAAAACTGATAGAGGGCAAAAGCAGTGACTCTCTAGATCTTGAGGCAGAAGTCTTGAGTCCTGTTGAAACTCTCTACATCCTCTGAGGCCCAGTGGCACTTGAGCACCTGTCTGTTGATGTCCGTGGCCATTTCCTGGTGTATTTGTACACATTTCCTCACAATGTGTATTCTTTTTCAAGTCTGCTTGTATAGGTTTCTGCAGCTTGTAACCAAGGAGAGTTTCAATCATAAAGCACTCTTGCATGTTTTCATACAACACACACATAATTCTGTGTTTACAAAAATGTTAATGGGCTCAAATGTTCCAAGTGTGCATTTTGATAATGTTTACCAGAGACGGCATGTTTGTAGATTTCCTACCACAACGTCCTTCTTCAGGAGTCAGATGAGCACCAAGATTTGCCATGAAGTTTTTAATTTCCACGGTCATCTTGAATCTTTGTATCTCAGTAACATTTTCTATTTTCTTGTAATACTTTACAGTCCACTTACACTGCTCAATTGTCAATTTTAATTCTAGAAATTTACTTTAAAAATTTGTTTAAAACCCTACCATGTATTGACAAGTAGAGGTGTTATGACACACACACACAATCTCAATTTTAAGATGCATATTTTTTACACTTGAATTTTTAGGATATCAGAATTTTTCTTATAATAAATATGCACAGGGGCGCCCGGGTGGCTCAGTCGTTGGGCGTCTGCCTTCGGCTCGGGTCGTGATCCCAGGGTCCTGGGATCAAGCCCCGCATTGGGCTCCCTGCTCCACGGGAGGCCTGCCTCTCCCTCTCCCACTCCCCATGCTGTGTTCCCTCTCTCGCTGTGTCTCTCTCTGTCAAATAAATAAATGAAATCTTTAAAAAAAAATATGTACATTGAATGCAGTAGTATTTAATCTTCTTTTCCCCAAAAAGCTATTAAAAATTCATGATGTGTCTTATTTTCAACCAGAATGAGAAATGCTAATATAAATTATAAAATAATTACTTTGTAACAGTCCAAGTGAATATTCATTTTATAGGTATTCACATTTTTAAAAAAGATTTTTATTTATTTATTTGAGATAGAGAGAGAAAGAGAGCACAAGCAGGGCAGAGAGAGAGGGAGAAGCAGGCTCCCCGCCAAGCAGGGAGCTTGATGCGGGGCTAGATCCCAGGACCCTAATATCATGACCTGAGCCGAAGGCAGATGCTTAACCGTTAACTGAGCCACCCAGGTGCCCCAGGTATTTGAATTTTTTATTTTTATTTTATTTATTTATTTATTTATTTATTTTTAAAGATTTTTATTTGAGAGAGAACACAAGCAGGGGAAGCAGCAGGCAGAGGGAGAGGGAGAAGCAGGCTCCCCACTGAGCAGGGAGCCCAATGCGGGGCTCGATCCCAGCACCCCGGGATCATGATCCAAGCCAAAGGCAGCCGCTTAACCGACTGAGCCACCCAGGCACCCCTGAATTTTTTTTTTTTTAAATCACAGAACTACAGACTTTGTATCAGCAGTGCTCCTGAGAAGCATTAAAGAGGGAGGCTTAGGAATCCCATGGCTAATTATGCAGAACCTGTCACTCTGCTGACTGTCCAAACGATGTTCTTTCCACTTTACCCTGCATAACAGGCCCTTTAGATACTAAGGAGACATCCAACAGAACATGAGCCCGGAAGGGCCATTTCTACAGTTCTGTGATGCATGGAACCACTGAAGGACAGGGCAGTCCTTGCAGAAGCAGGCTGACGATGCAGCAATCTGAGAGAACTGCCACCAGATGGGAGCAGTGTAGTCTCTTTGGCCAGTGTAGCAAGATGACCTTTCCAGCCGAAACTGAAGAAACGTGGCGGGTGCCTATGTCACAATCCAGGCAAGCACAAAGGGTTGAGAAGAGCCAGCCAAGATTCTCAAAGCCTGTGACTATCACAGATCTAAAGGTAAAGCAACGAACCTGTATGCCTAACACAGAGGGAACCACATGATTTAGCTTCTATGCCCACAAAAGGGCTTATTTGTAGGTGAGAAGCATGTTAAGGCAGAGTTCCTTGATCATGAGATCAAATCCAAAGGCTGCTAGGATGTGTCAGTTTAAAGATGTTGGTCACTATCAATGTGCAGCTGGCCGACTAAAGATGTAAGTTACTCAGTTAGGAAGAAGAGGGGAGACAGCAACACTCGAGGTACTGCTCTAGCACAGGCCCGGGGCCACCGTATAGATCGGGGTACGAAGATTCTCGGCCACATCTAAACAGAGCTCAGGCTGTTACACAAGAAGGCAACTATAAGACTGTCAGAAGAGATGCTTATTTCAGATTAAGGTGCATCCCAAGACCTTGATTAAATGGAAAAACCTAAAGCTAAGCTGGGGACAGTTTGGACAGAGGTAAGAAAAGCTAACATGCAGCAGAGCCTGTGCCAGTCTGCCCACTAGAATATGTGCCAGTCGCTCGGCCTACTTGCATTCTTTTTTGAAACACTAAGATATTCCCTATGATTTCACTGGAATCCATTTTGGGGGGAAATTCATGAATTTATTGAATCACAAAGGGAAAAAGGATTCATTCCATGATGTGAGGTGAGCAAGTGAAATAGCCGTGATAATTTTGACACAGACACATGTTAGCCCCTTAAATATGTTGGAATATTCTTTTATTTCCACAAAGAAACATGCTTTCTCCCACTTTCCCTAAAATATATAGCACTTTTTTAAAAATGTTTTTTAGATTTTATTTATTTGAGAGGCAGAGAGAGAAGCTGAGAGAGAGAGAGAGAGAGAGAGCACACAAACCTGAGCAGGGGGAGGGAGAAGCAGACTCCCCACTGAGCAGGGCGCCCGACGCAGGGCTCCATCCCAGGACCCTGGGATCACGACCTGAGCTGAAGGCAGACACTTAACCGACTGAGCCACCCAGGCGTTCCAAATATATAGCACTCTTGGGTATATCTCTCCCTATTTTTTTTTATTTTGGCTTTTTAAAAAATTTTTTTAAAAATTCAATTTAACATACACTATATTATTAGTTTCAGGTGGAATTTAATGATTCATCACTTACATATAATACCCAGTGCTCATCACAAGCGCCCTCCTTAATGCCCTTCACCCTCTTACCCCATCCCCCACCCACCTCCCCTCCAGCAATCCTCCGTTTGTTCCCTGTAGTTAAGAGTTTCTTATGGTTTGCCTCCCTGTTTTCTTTTTTTTTTTTTTAAAGATTTTATTTATTTATTTGAGAGAGAGAGAATGGGAGATAGAGAGCACGAGAGGGAAGAGGGTCAGAGGGAGAAGCAGACTCCCTGCCGAGCAGGGAGCCCGATGCGGGACTCGATCCCGGGACTCCAGGATCATGACCTGAGCCGAAGGCAGTCGCTTAACCAACTGAGCCACCCAGGCGCCCCTGCCTCCCTGTTTTCATCTTATTTTATTTGTCCTTCCCTTCCGCTATGTTCATCTGTTTCTTAAATTACACACATGAGTAAAATTATATGGTATTTGTCTTTCTGTGATTTCTTTTGCTTAGCATAATACCCTCTAGTTCCATCCACATCACTGCAAATGGCAAGATTTCATTCTTTTTGATGGCTGAGTAATAGTCCAGTGTGTGTGTATGTGTGTGTGTGTGTGTGTGTGTGTGTGTG